TGCAGATGATACCAAGTTGGGTAGGAGGGTGAACTGTGACGAGGATGCAGAGTTCCTTCAGCATGATCTCGACAGGTTAGGTGAGTGGGTAAATCAATGGCAGATGCAGTATAATTTGGATAAATGTGAGGTTTCTAACATTGGAAGCAAAAACAAGAAGGCAAGGCAGATTACTACTTGAATGGCTGTAAATTGGGAGAGGGGAGTGTGCAGTGGGACCTGGGTGTCCTTGTGCACCAGTCGCTGAAGGTAAGCATGCAGGTGCAGCAGGCGGTAAGGAAGGCAAATGGTATGTTAGCCTTCATTGCGAGAGGTTTTGAGAACAGGAGCAGGGATGTGTTGTTGCAGTTGTACAGGGCCTTGGTGAGATTTCAACCTGGAATATTGTCGCAGTTTTGGTATCCCTTCCTGAGGAAAGATGCTCTTCCTCTCGAGGGAGTGCAGCGAGGATTTATCAGGCTGATTCCAGAGATGGTGGGTCTGACGTACGAGGAGAGATTGACTAGGCTGGGATTGTTTTCACTAGAGTTCAGATGAATGGGGGGGGGGTGATCTCATAGAGATGTATAAAATTCTAACAGGACTGGACAGGGTAGATGCAGGGAGGATGTTCCCGAAGGTGGATGTGTCTAGAACCAGGTGTCACAGCATGAGGATTCTGGGTAAATGATTTAGGATAGAGATGAGGAGACATTCTCACACAAAGAGTGGTGAGCCTGTGGAATTCATTACCACAGGAAGTAATTGATGCCAAAACATTGAACGTATTCAAGAGGTGATTAGATATAGCACTTAGGGTGAATGGGATCAAAGGTTATGGGGAGAAAGCAGGATTAGAATTTGAGTTGGACAATCAGCCATGATCATGAAGAATGGCTGAACAGGGTCAAAGGGCCGAATGGCCTCCTCCTGCTCCTATCTTCTATGTTTGTATACTTTGGATTTTTCAAGAAAGCTCCTTCATTTTACTCTCCAGTTTTTTTTGATCATTGATGGGATGTGGGTATCGCTGACCAAGGCTGCATTTATTGCCTTGCCTAATTACTCTCATCACAATTGAGGCACTTACACAGCCGCTTCAGAGTGCAGTTAAGACTGAAGCATGTTGCTGTGGGTTTGGAATCATATACAGACCAACATTGGCAGATTTAAGGATATCAATGAACCAGTTGGGTTTTTATGACATCTAGGGTAGTTACCTGGCCACATTATTTATTCTTGCTTTTTATGCTTGATTTGTTTTATTAACTGAATTTAAATTTTTGATCAGGAGACATCAATTAGTTAGTCAAAGCTGCTGGTTGTAGAAATACTGGTGTATGGCTATGTCAATGTATCACTGCACCACTGTTATTATTCCATAAACATTAGTCAGAATAATTCCTCCAATTTTTGGTGTAATTATCTCAAACTACTGTATTAGTGCCACTGCCACTAAGTTTGGTTTGTTGACAGTTGCAGCCGCCAGTTGTGTCAAATGGTAATTGATTCCCTCAATCTCTCAGTTTTTTAGTACTTTCTCCAGCACTTTCTGTTTTTATACAGAGAACTGATTTCTGTAGTCAGTTGAGGAGTTGCACGTCTATCTGTCCTTCTGAAAAGCATCTGCTTCTCTTGCCTTTGAAACACCTTGCTTCCACTGGTGTTCACTGTTCTTAGCCTTTCTGCATATCTGTCAGTTCTGCCAGAATACTGGCTATGTTTAAAGGATACCCTTAGGAAAATTTTAAGATCATTGCATTGATGTATTGATGTATTGCATTTATGTATTTGTTGACAAATGCACATCAATCAAAAATAGTGGTTAAGGGAGGAAATATGAATGAATTGCTCCTGTTCTTGAATACAGGCAGTCCCTGGGTTATGAATGGGTTCTGTTCTTGAGTATGTTCAGAAGTCAATTTTTACGCAAGTCAGAACACAGTGTGACATAAAATAGCTGTCCATAAGTGCGAGTACACATTCATATGTCAGATCCTTAATAGTAAAAGGAGATTTTGTAAATATGAGCTTTCGTAAGTTCATAAAGCAGGGTTGCCAGTATTATGATTCAATTTTTGCTGGACAGCGCATACGTGCGTTATCAGATGCACTGCAAAGATTTTTTAAAAATTCATTCATGGGATGTGGACATCACTGGCTGGGCCAGCATTTATGGCAATTCCTAATTGCTCAGAGGGCATTAAGAGTCAACCCACATTGCTGTGGGCCGTTCCCTAAAGGACATTAGTGAACCAAATGGAATTTTTCCTGATGATCGACAATGGTTTCGTGGTCGTCATTAGATTCTTATCTCCAGATTATTATTGAATTCAAATTCCACATCTGCCATGGGGGACATTCGAACCAGGTCCCTAGAACAATATCTGGGTCTCTGGATTAATAGTCTAGTGATTATACCACTAGGCCTACCATTATCATTCTCTAAGATCTTGCATGAGAAGTGACTACACGTGCTGAAGAGTGGCTGACACCCACAGAACTGTGTGCTTGCAAGAGTCTGGTTAGTGCCTACAGGGCAGGAAGGGTAGAAATGATTTATAAAGAAGACATAAGAGTATTTTGGGTCTCTTGAGTTAGCTGTTATCATTGGCCTTATTCTGTGATCCTTTCCTAATCAATTTTTTGCTTTTGTTTTCCCAGATGTCAGAAACCTTTTGCAGTCAGTTACCCTTTTTACCCATTTGATGGGGGACACCATTGTCCAGGGTAGTGCCACCTCCCACATGGTGCCAATGGAGCAGGCAGACCGTAAGTAACGTACTCAATCTGCCCTTGCATGTAAGTGGCTTCAAAAAGCAGCAGTTTACTTTAGTCAACCAGCTTGCACTGTCACAACACAAGTGCTGTGATGCTTACCGAAGCTTGACTCTTGGTTTCTAGAAAGTACAGCAGATTTTACTGACGAGACAATCTATCATCCTGTATCTTGAACTTGTGCCATTAAAGAGGGTTCTCACTAAACAGTGATCTGAAGTCAGCAGGGTGTCACCAGGTAAAATCCTGATACTTTGGTCATAACCTAAATGAAAGGAGGATAATATATGCAAACAAGAGGGAATATGCCTGAAATGTGCTGTGTCACTTTGCAAATATGTTCCATATCTCATCAAGTTCTGCCACGTATACCCTTTCTTTTGGATTGTTAGCCATTATTTAATTATAAAGTTTTACTTTATAATTAAATCCCTTCAAAAATCCGAAAGACACCATTACCACGTCTAAAAGGTCCTGTGCTAAGTTGACTGATTTCACTCACAGCGTCAGGTATTATTATTACAATTGATCTGGTTCTTTTGAGCTACACAAGAAAAATCAGTCATTACCATCTAACTAACTCTCATTGCAGTGTACTTGTTTGTGGACATTGGTTCACAACATGGTTGACCTTAGCTGTGAGTCCCACCCATGATCAGGCATCTTGTAATAGCTCACTGTCTAGGTTAATTCATGAAGAATGACCACTTGGCTGTAAGGACCGAAAAAGCCATCTCTTCATTTTGAGAGAAGAAATTGAGGGGAAGACAGAAATAAATTCTTAACTTCAGCACTCAGTGGGTCTCTGAATAAAACAAAAATTATGTTTTGTATTTAATTGGATGGGATAGATAATGTTACTAAATAGTTTAAGAACTAATCACCACTGAATTATTTAAAATAATGAGTAGATCCAAAGGAAGGTATTGGGCATGTTATTTAGAAATGTTAGCAGCAAGGATGAGAGGCGTTTTATCCAAAGGAGTATATGATAGTGTGGGCTGAGGCTCCATATTTAGGACTAATGTAACAGGTTGAGGGGTGACCTTATTTGGGACCTTATCAGTTGAGGGGTAAAGAACAAGGGTTTTGTTTAAAACTAGGGGGCATATATTTAAGGTGAGAGGAAAAAGGATATGAGGGACAACCTTTTTTACAGAGAGTGGTTATTGGTATGAACTGCCAGAGAAAGTGGTGGATGCAGGTACAATTACAACTTGGACAGCAGTGGATGCTCCTCATCATCAGAGTAACAACAGTGTCAGCTCAGCTTGGGTGGCCACACGTTGGAATGGCACTTTATTCCTGTCGTACCACCTTGGTTCGTATCAACCAAATCAGCATTGGCTTAGTAATGGGTCGCTTACTTCAAGCATAGGATGACTGTTTCTTCCTATTCTTTCTCATTTTCTTTCTCTGTTCAAATTTTTTTCCTTCTTTCCTCTTGGAATCCCCTCTTTTCTCAGCCTGCCTCCCTTTTTTACCGCAGTCTCACACTGACCTTTTCTCAGTCCTCAGCCCTCTTTTCTCTGCCTTCCCCACTGATACTCCCTCCCTGTTTTTCTCTGTGATTAATTTCTTACGACATTTCATCATCATGAATTTTGATGGCTTTGATATGATGCAGCCTTTTCTGACCGACTTAAGTATCAGTAGCTCCTGAGGGGTGGTTTACTTATAAATATGTTAAATGTGGTTTCTGCTTTTGCTCAAAAATAAGTAGTAAGTTGTGAGGTAAATCTAGTTTATTTGTTACATATTCTGATTCTGTTTGATCCTAGTTAGATATTATTGAAAAGAGAATCTATGGCAGAAGTAATCAAGTCAGTGAGCATCTTTATTTTGATTTTACTGCCCAGTTTATTTCCCCTTGTATTTTGCTGTCATTGATTTCATACTGTGGACTGTCAATTAGCTGATAGTAGTACGTGGTACCTCATCCAAATAGCTGCTTTTGGATTTAAGTCCTTACTAGGAATATTAGCAGGCTATTTGGCCACAGCTAAACTTTGCTCCAGTGTTCAATAATCAAGAAACACTGTATAACCTAAGGTGCAGGGACGCTGACTGATCTTTGTCATTCCTTAACCCACAGCTTCAAAGAAGCTCCTTTAGTTCAATATCATTACAACCATGTTGAGCAAGGAAGGAGAAACATGTAACTGACCTTTGAATAAAAGCCCTGTCAACAGGATATGTTTGATTGCAATTGAAGTTTTGTGGTTGTATGATATTGCCCACACCTTATGTTGGTTCTGTTTCCTCACTGCCAGGTCTGTTGGAAGCGTGCAAGCAATGCGGTAGTGAGGTACTTTCCTACTTTTCCAGTTTGAAGGACACCACAACTTTGAGCAGTGCAGATTGCACAAAAGTGAGAGAAAGTCTGAACCAGATAAACACAATAGGAGAGGTAAGAGGTTAACCTTCTCTTTAAATTTGAGTAAAATATTGGATAGGCTGAGGACTAAAGCACATCATCAAGCACCCTCATGATTCATTCCATGCTGTCAATTTTGCTCACAGAGTGTAAAGTTGAAATACTGTGGGAGAGATCCTGCAATGTTAATTCTGTTTCTCTGTCCACTATTGCTGCAAAACTAATACAATCCCAATGGAATGATTGCCCTCTAATATTCCCCCTCCATTTCTGAGACACTTACCCATGATGGTGTTCAATTCCATAGTTATTGGATACCAACCAGTCTCTCGCCCAAGCAGCCATACTGAGAACTCATCAGTAGCTCTTGTAGCCTGAGAGCCAAACCTATATTGATGTGGTTTCCATTAGGAATCAGGGACATGAACAGTGATTGATTTTTTTTTTATTTTTAAGGTTCCACCTCTTCTAAATCAGGGATGTAGAGACCAACTGCATCAGCCAAACTGCTCCCTAGCTAGTTCAGCATGAAACTAGAATCAAACCTATGACTCTCAGATGTATAAGCTAAAGTGCCGCTCTAGATTCAAATCTCTGCTGAAAAGCTCAAGGAACTGTTTTAGTTCTGGACTGACCAAGTTGAACACCTCCTCCATCAATTGCTGTGCACTCTCTGCAGTGTTATTGATGGCTGTATGTGATTTTTTAGGAGCTGAGGCCTAAAGGAAGAGACATCAAACAAAAAGAGCTGGGGGATCTGGTGGAACAGGAGATGGCTGCCACATCAGCAGCTGTTGAAGCTGCTACTACACGGATTGAGGTAATTTGTGTCATTAAGTTCATTAGATAAGCTATTAGAGATGTATCAGGAGAAAAAAATTAGTTCATTAGCTGGCCAGAGTGCTATTGATATGTACAAAAGCTCTCAATTCTGATGCACTTCGAGACTAAGTTATTGGAAGAGAGAAAGTAGTTACGTAAGTGAAGAGAACTATGAATTCAAATGTGTGAAAGGATATTGTAATGGGGAATCATCTGGATTGAGACATTCTTCCTATGGGTTGTCCAGTTCTCTGGTCAAACTTACTGTACTTCACTAGGGAGACACAGATCATGAGGTCTCGAGGGGATAGCCTGGCCTGGACAGTAGGGTATGATCATGCTTTGCTTAAGTGTGCGGCAAGAAAATCTTCTGCATGCAGCGTAAGCAGTGAGGAAATCCAAGACAACTGGGGAAAATCAGAAATGAAGTTGTTTTTAATTTAATAGACAGGGAATACCTTTTCCCTGCAGAATTTTTATGTTTTTGCAATGTCGACACAAAGATTTGTTGCAGAAATACTCTCCGACTATACATGTTATGTGCTGCTTCATAGAGGAAAGCTACGGAAGTCAGGAAGGGGAATGGGAAATTTTAATAAAGGTGGGAAGACCTGCAATGTTCTAAGGAAATGAAGGCACTAAGAACTCCTTGTAATATTGCTGATTTGTGCTGTAAGTTCTGTTTATATAAACTGCATTCTGTTCTGTACATAACTGTGTCTCGCTTGTTTGGTAGAAGTTGACAGCAATGTTCTGGAGCTACTTGTGTATATACTTAGTGAGCCTCATCTCATGCATACTTTTTAACATGATAGTAGCAAGAGGTAGATGAGTTCAGTCTTCAGTATGGTATGACATGATCCAGAACTTGCTCTAATACTTCCATGGCTTTTCAGGAAAATAAAACAGACACCAGCCTTTCCCTGGCTTATTGCTGGAGCAGGGCAATGTTCTGCTGTTGTATTTCAGAGCTGCTGGTTAAAACAGGATTTCTTTTCTCAAACCTTGTAACCAGGAAATGCTGAGCAAGTCAAGAGCAGGAGACACGGGTGTGAAGCTGGAGGTGAATGAGAGGCAAGTGCTTTCAAAGATGCATGAATTTATAGAAGTCTACAAGAAGCATGGGTGACATTAAGGGCACTTCCACAGTCAAATGCCTGTGATTTTATGCAGTTTCAATGTGAGCTTCCTACACAAAAAGCCCTAGATATCAAAACCCGAGTAAGAAAAATTAAAAAGCCTGAGAAAGGATTACTTTGAGTCCTACTGTCATTTATTGTGGTCTTTATTATTTTGTAACCCAAAATTAATAGTTTCACCAAGCAAAAAACATGTTTTTCTTCAATGTATTGCTGTAAATGGACCCAAACCAAAGTCAAAATGTCAAGCTGGCCCATCTCCATAATAGTGGTTTCTGTTTAACAGAATTCCCATTTTAAATCATTACCATTCAATTACACTGTTGGACTAGTCCACATGTCATTTAGTACGTTGCACAGAACTTCAAAAGTCTAGAATCCAACATACTGTGTCTAATCCATTTTTAATTCACTTTCATTGTATAGCCTATAATAGACTTGTTCATTATCCATTTTCAGACTGCTCAAAATTCCACTGACTAGTTCATTTCCCATGCCCTCCTATTGCCCAGAATTACAATGGATTAATTTAGTTCCTCTTCAGTCCCGTTGTGTAACATTCCAAGACATAAGTCATATTATATTTACTGCTGCTATAAATATTAAAGTTACTGTAGCCTTATTGTTCTTGATTCTATTGTAATTTGCACTATATTCATATTAAAGTTACTGTAGCCTTATTGTTCTTGATTCTATTGTAATTTGCACTATATTCAATGAGTAGTTTCTTCCTTTCTGCTGTAATGGTTTGCAAATGGCCGTGTTCATCTTCAGCCTCAGAACAATCTGCCAGTTTTAATATCTCTTGTCCCCAGTTTTCTCTCCACAGGTGTTGATGGCCTTTGTGCACTTGATCCATTCTTCCTGTGTATGCATCAGGAAGTTAGTTAACATACATCAGTAGACAGAGTAAGAAATCCAGAGTGATTTAGGTTTACTACTGGGTATCTGACTCATGTCTTCTTAAAACTCCATTCCCCTGAAATTCTAGAAAAGGGTGAAAGATCCTGCCAGTTTGAGTAGGATTTGAATCCAGCCCTTTGGACTAAAGAGAGTGTAACTCTTTTCCCTGACTCTGGGTTTGCACCTCTATTTAATTTCTCTCTTATTCAACTCCATGTTTTCTCTGTGCTCATTTTGTCCGTGAGACCTAACTCTGTTCCCTCAAAACTTTTTTCAAAAATCTGCTACACAGCCACTTTTGTTCATGGTCCCTAAGTACTGACTTCCTCCTCCCCACACCTCTTTAAATCTGTTGTTGTCACTCTCTTCTTTAACAAAAAAAAACCTGACTTCCTTGCCATTGAAAATTACTGTCTCATCTATGACCTTTCCTTCCTATCCCTGATCACTGAATGTGTTACCTTCTATATGTGTGCCCATCGATCGTGCAGTTTAATGTTTGAAGCCCACCTCCCCCACCCCCAAACCACCACCACCATTTTGTTTCTGCCACTGGCACCGTACTAAAATGTCCCGGATCAAAGTCACGCATGACATTGTGTAACTGTAGTAAACTGACCGAATACATCTTTCAAAGTCTGTAACTTTTGCCATAGATTTGCTCTGCCATTCTCCTACAATGCCTGTCTTGTTATGATCTCAAGGGATATCAGTGAATTTTAAAAGAAATTCAAACTGTTTTATTAATTGAAAGAATTACACTAGGTTTTGTGTTTTAAACAAGACCTTTTCTGTACAGGAATTAAACAAATTAAAGGACTTAACAAATTGCAAGAATTAAACTTAAGCGTAACACTAAATGTGTTATAAGCACTTACTTTCTAAGACTGAAAATCTCAACAGGTATTTTTCTATTTTTATTTCCACACGAGTTTCCTCCTGCACTTTCAAGGCTCTTGAGGGTTCTATCACTTCTCTTGAACCAAACTAAGGTGTGCCACAGCTCTTAGTAATTCACTTTGATTCACCTCAGTGTTCCTACTCTGAGATATGAGATTTCTTGGTGTCCTTCCACCTAGCATTGGGCCAGGCAACAGTCTTAAAACACCTCATATTTGTGGACTCTCCAGCTGAAGCATGGGCTTCACTACTATTTAGCTTAGTGATCTACAACTCCTGGCAGCTTTCTCACTTTGTTTCCGGGCTGTTCTCGCTCCAGACATAAACTGCCTGTATTCTGTGAGCAATCACACACATATACCCAAAACTGTAGTTCTGAGAATCCTACCCCCTCTACCCTCGCTAAGGTGGCACGCTTGGGATATCCTAGATAGAGATTTCAACTAATTAGCTACAATTTCCAAACCTGATCTGAATAGATATAGATACTTGCCTTATTTATCAGTTGCTTTTGACCTGCTTTTGATCTGGAATATTACATGAATAATTTCAATCTCTAATGGCACTGCCACAAGCTAACCAGACTCACTGGTTCCATTCCTAAGCAAAGATAGAACCACATGTTGTTTATTGTTTCCAAACCTCTAATTGTAACTCCCTTAAATGGACATCGTCTTCCTTTAAATCCATAATTATCTTATGGATTTTTGCCAGTTTCTCAAGCCCAGATTTTTGTTCTTCTCCCATTTATCTTGCATTTAGAATTCCAATTCACAAAACATACAAAGTATGAAGCTAGACATTTTTGCATCCTCTAATCCGGTTGGATGGGACTGTGCTTACCTAGTTCCATTCTTATTTGTGGAATGTCTACAAAATGACTTTTTGGAGTAGCTTGTGGTGGACCCCACTAGGGAACAGGCAATTCTGGATTTAGTGATGTGTAGTGAGGCAGACTGGATAAGGGAGCTTAAGGTGAAGGAACCCTTGGGAGGGAGTGATCATAATATGATGAATTTACTCTGCAATTTGAGAAGGAGAAGCTGGAATCGGATGTTAATAGTATTGCAGTTGAATAAACTTAACTACAGAGACATGACGAAGGAGCTGGGCAGAATTAACTAGGAAAGACAGTAGAACAGCAATGGCAGGAGTTTCTGGAAATAATTCGGGAGACACAGCAAAAAGTCATCCCTAGGAAAAAGAAGCACACTAAAAGGAGGACAAGGCAACCATGGCTGACAAGGAAAGTCAGGGACAGCATAAAAGCAAAAGAGAAAGCATATAATGCAGCGAAGGGCAGTGAGTAGCCAGGGGATTGACCAACAGAGGACAACTAAAAAAGAAATAAGGAGGGAGAAGATTAAATATGAGGGTAAGCTATCTAGTAACATAAAAGAAGATTGTAAGAGCTTCTTTAGATATATAAAGGGTAAAAGAGAGGCAAAAGTGGACAATGGGCTGCTGGAAAATGAAGCTGGAGTAGTAGTCATGGGGAACAAGGAAATTGTAGAGGAACTGAACAAGTACTTTGCTTCAGTCTTCGCAGTGGAAGACATGAGTAACATCCCAAAAATTCAAGAGAGTCGGCGGGGGCCAGAGGTGAGTATGGTAGCCAACACCGAGGAGAAGGTGCTACAAAAACTGAAAGGTCTAAGGGTGGATAAATTACCTGGACCCGATGGACTACACCCCAGAGTCTTAAGGCGATAGCTGAAGAGATAGTGGAGGCGTTAGTGGTGATCTGGAGCGGGTCCAGAGGAGTTTTATGAGGATGATCCCAGGAATGAAAGGCTTAACATATGAGGAATGTTTGAGGACTCTGGGTCTGTACTCAATGGAGTTTAGAAGGACGACGGGGGATCTAATTGAAACTTACAGAGCACTGAAAGGCCTGGATAGAGTGGAAATTGGGGAGATATTTCCATTAGCAGGAAGGACTAGGACTCGAGGGCACAGCCTTAGAGTAAAGGGAAGACCCTTTAGAATGGAGATGAGGAGAAACTTCTTCAGCCAGAGCGTGGTGAATCTATGGAATTCATTGCCGCAGAAGGCTGTGGAGGCCAGGTCCTTGAGTACATTTAAGACAAAGATAGATAGGTTCTTGATTGTTAAGAGGATCAAAGGGTTATGGGGAGAAGGTGGGAGAATGGGTTGAGAAACTTATCACCCATAATTGAATGGTGGAGCAGACTCGATAGGCCGAATGGCCTAATTTCTGCTCCTACGTCTTATGGTCTTCTATCTTCAGCCATTGTCAGAGAAACACCTGTAATGGCTTTGCTTCCTGCTCTGACATTTTTACCGCTGGTGTTCCCAAGAGACCTAAACCTAGTCCCTTCTAATTCTTACGTACATTCCTGTCTTTCAAACCATCATTCAAAAGTAGTGTCTCATTCACAGAAATCCCTCGGCTGTACCTCACCTCTATGATTTGTCTTGCTGCTTCTTTGGATGAGCAGATTTTTTTTCCCAACTAACTAATAAGACCAAAGCCATTGTTTTAGGGCTCTGACACAAACTTCATTCCTAACCACCAATTTGGGAGATCTTCCTTTGATTGTTGATTATCTTATGGATTTTTGGTTGTGTTATGACAATATCAATGAATAGTAATACAAAGGTGCAGATAAATTCTATGGGGACTTGGGTTCAAATTCCATCACATCAGCAGTGTAAATGCAATTAATAGATCTGAAATGTAAAGCAAGTCTTAATAATAATGATCTTGATTACTACCATGAATTTTTGTAAAACTCATCAGCTTCACTCATGTCCTTTAGGGTAGGACATCTGACATCCTTGCACAACCTGGCCTACATGTTACTTCAGACCCACTGCAATGTTGGTGACTTTTTCCTGCCTTCTGAAACAACCTTGCAAGTCAATCAGTCCAAGAACAATTAGAGATAGGCAACAAATTCTACCCTTGCTAACAACACTCACATTCCATGAAAGAATAAAATAATCTCATTGCTTTCCTTGGCCACTATCTGAGACTGAACCAGACAATTTGCAATCTTAGCATCCCAATTGAGGCAAAGCTGGATTCCTGATTCTGTATTCTGTCTTTCACCAAGATATTTATCTATTTAATATTGCTGGTTACCACCTTTGCTTCAGCTCATTTGCTGCTGAAACCTCACCCCATGTCTTTCTAACCTCTAAACTGGACTATTCCAATGCTCCCCTGGTCAACACACCCTCCATGAACTTGAGCTCACCTAAAGCTACTAGTTTTACCTGAACTGACGCGGAGTCTTATTTGTCAATTGCTTTTGTACTCTCTTACCTATATTAGGACCTGGTACAGCAATACTATGATTCAGATCCTTGTATTTACATTCTTCTATCACTTCACTCCTCTCTTTCTTACAATCTCCTTGAGCTTTAAATTTCTCCGAGGCCCCTGCATGCTTCCAGTTCTGAATTTACTCAATCCTCAGTTGGTGACCATATCTTCAGCTGCCTACGCAACAGACCCTTTCAATTTCATCCTCGACCTCCTTAAACCTACTGCTTAGACCAAACCTTTGGGTCACCAACCTCGTACGGCCAATATACCATTGTGTGAAACTTTGTTTGGGAATGCTTCTGTAAAAGATGTTGAGGAAACTTTGTTATTTTAACGGTGGTCTGTGTATTCAAATTATGTTGGAGTGCAAACAAATTCCCATCAGGAACTTGGGTGATTTGAATATCGAACAAGTGCCTGCTTTCTGATTTTTTTCCTTTGAAATATCTTTGTTTAAATACTGGGGTTCTTTGGTAGAGCTGGTTTGGTGTTACTGAGTCTGGTGTGGAGGAGGAGAAGTGAAATGAATAGTTGATGCTGCGTACCTTTCAGACTGAGAGTCTGACTATGACAAATGTAAGTTGATGGGGAAGTTCTTTACATTGAAGGAAAGTTTAAAGCCTTTAAATAGAGAGGTCCCTTTAAACAGACCAACTCAATAAGCTGGGGTGATCAGAGCAAAGAAATATTTGCTTCGCGTCCCAAAGTAGTTTGACAATGTAGGCCAAAAATCTTCAATTGTCTTTTAGTTTAAAGCTATTCTTCTTTTAGCAGAACCTAAACTCAAGGAACTGATAATGACTTTGGGCATGGTAAGGAATGGAAGGGGGTTTACCATCTAAACTACTACTTCAATTTCCAGTGAAGTAAGTTTGTTCCCAGATAGGATTTGTATCATTGACTGAATAGAAATGAAATGCAGAGCTATTGGGACTGGGCAGGAGAGTGGCTCTAACCAAGTTGCTGTTGCTGGGAGCTGGTATTGACATGAGCTGATTAACCTCTGTGATCCAGGACATAGCACATGAAAAATTAAATGGAATGGAAGTTTTTATTTGAGGTGTTTTCATGTGTTTAGGAAGAAATTATTTGACAAGCATTCTGTATTTTTATTTCCTGTAGGATCCTTGAGTCTTGCACTGACTTGATGCATGCAGTTAAAATGTTGGTTCTGACATCGAAGGATCTACAGAGAGATATAGTGGAGAGTGGAAGGGTAAGAGCAAAAATTTGATGAATCTGAAGTTTGGTCAGTAGACAGGACTGTATGTGAGTTAAAATATTGCAAGGCAGTTAGTTGATCGAAAGCTTTTGAAACATTGTGAATCATGAGACTATTGCAATATTTGTGGGAACCCACATCCTTTCACCTCAGGCCTTTTGTCCATTCTCGACTCACTTTACTTTTTCATTGATACCTTGTTGTAAACCATTGAGGCACTAAGTGCTGGAAACCTCTCCTTAAACCTCTGCACCTCTGTCTTCCTTTAAAGTACCCTTAAAAACCTAAGTCAGTGACCTAGCTGCTAAATACACCCCTGTCCACAGTCCTATCCCGGATAAAATGCCTAGGACAGCTCTGTTGCAGATGCTGTATAAATATATGTTGAAGATGCTCCATAAATACGCATTATTAAATTGGCTGATGCCCTTAATTGCTCGTCAGTGATTCCTCAATCCCTGTCATGCAAAGATTCATGTGCCGATGACCTCCCCAAACCCTCATTAATTTCTTGGATTACCAAAATAGCTGTTTATTCTGGTTTTGTGAAGGCAGAAGGCCACTTGTTTGGAATGCCAAGTATGATGCTCCCTTTCTGATCATTGAATTTCTCAATTCAGGTTTTTGTAATGGAATCTGTCCTCCCTGCTCTTTAAATATATCATAATGGGTGAACTTCCTCAAATACTCCACTTGGCATGGTACAAATCCACACCTGAAGCAAGTCTGCAAGATTCCTGCTTCCTGCTGAGTTTGAGATTTTACAGCAAAGCCTTTGGTTTGTGGGATGATCAGTAAGGGGTGAGGTGTAGTAAGGCATAGCACCTCTTGAAAAATGGAGAGAAATTAGGAAGAAATGATGATAAATATTATGTTTCTGGTTTACAGGGGGCAGCATCTCAAAAAGAGTTCTATGCCAAGAACTCCAGGTGGACTGAAGGCCTCATCTCTGCATCAAAGGCTGTAGGCTGGGGAGCCACTGTGTTGGTGTAAGTATTGCAGTTGCTATTTGTTCATGGTCCTGTTTACAGTCATCTATAGCATAGAATTACAGAATCCCTACAGTGTGGAAACAGGCCATTCGGCCGAACAAGTCCACACCGCCTCTCTGAAGAGCATCCCACCCTGTTTCATTCCCCTACCACTGCATTTCCCCACCTAAACATCCCTGGACACTACGGGGCAATTTAGCATGGCCAATCCACCTACCCTGCACATCTTTGGACTGTGGGAGGAAACTGGAGCACCCGGAGGAAACCCATGCAGACACGGGGAGAATGTGAAAACTCCATACAGACAGTTGCCCGAGGGTGGAATTGAACCAAGGTCCCTGGCGCTGTTAGGCAGCAGTGCTAACCACTGAGCTGATGCTGAAACTGGATCACAGAGGTAGTTACATTCTGGAATTTAATTTAAGATAGAATTTAATGTTTTCCAGTTTCTGTATTTAAGTACAGCTATTATGCAGGTATTTACTGAGAAAATGAAAATTACCCAGCATCCCCTGCCCATAAAAACAAGGCAGATCCAATCAGATCAATTACTGCTCCATTAGGTTGCACTCAATCATGAACCAAGTGTTGAAAGGTGTTCCCAACATTTAAGTAACTGTTAGGTAGGTGGCTGTCTGGGGGCCTCTTGTGGGACAGTGGTATTGTCCCTACCTTTGGGCCAGGAGGCCCAGGTTCAAGTCCCACCTGCTCCAGAGGTGTGTGGTAACATCTCCGAACAGGTTGTTTCGAAATTAAGTCGATAGGTGCCTGAAGACAAAGGAAATAGAGGGTTACAGGATTAGGGAGGAAACATGTTTCTGTGTTCTAATTTCCATGCATCAAGTAACACTGCAAAACATGGTTTAAATCTGAGTGCTTCCTAATGCAACGGCAGTGAATATTTGCAATAATCTACTAAACAACACAACAGAGGCAACACAACAGCGGTTATTCAAAATTAATTAAATGTCATAGGAGTTATGTTGAAGAGATAAATGTTCATTATCCTGTTATCCATGGATTCCTGATCAACACTGTGTTGTATTTCAGTATCCTGGCACCTTAGATGCTACCTGTACTGACCAACTTCTGTCTGGTTAATTTTCCAGTGTAATTTTCAGTTGAAATGTATTTTTTTATATTTATTGTATTTCATTTTATGAGTCATTTCAACTGGAAATACACACGTGTGCTACTTCAATGTGTACATTTTCTTTTTATTGCTGAGAAGTTTTGGAAGGAACCTAAGTCTGTCTTTAATATTGATTTCTATGGGGACATATTTGAAGTTGTTTCTCGTTAACTTGTAACTCTGAGCCAAGGAACTACCACTATATGTGAGGACTCCTTGTATTGTGCTCATGTTTGCCGATGGCTTTATGACTGTGGTCTTTACTCTTCTATTTAAATGTGCAGTTATTTGCTGCTTAGGATTCAAACATTCTCTCATCTCTCTCTTCAGAGATGCTGCAGACATGGTTGTCCAGGGAAAGGGGAAGTTTGAAGAGTTGATGGTTTGTTCTCATGAAATCGCAGCCAGTACCGCACAGCTGGTGGCTGCCTCCAAGGTAAACAGTTATGTTTTTTGCAGTGATTAGCTCATATCTATAAAATAGCAATGACTCAAATTGCAAGTGGAAAAACAGAAAGGGGCTGCACCAATCAAACTTGGGGACGCAGATAAAAACTTTTCTAATGAATAACTGAAAAGGGCTTTTGAAGAGCAATAAATAAGAATTACTGAAATTTTATATATTCATTGTGTTTATGGGTATAAAATCCCACAAGATAAATAGGTGGCCAGCAAGCATGACATTATGTTACATTGAGTGGTATTTGGTCCATTGTGATAAGTAAGGGAACAAATGGAACTATAGTAGTAAGCCAGAGGATTGGAAAAGTTTTATAAATTAACACAACTTGACCAAAAAAAAGGGGAGAAAATAAACTTTGACATTAAACTTGCAAATAACATCAAGACAGAAGGCAAGAACTTCTTTAAATATATAACAAGGAACAAGGAAGAAGTCACAGTGAACATAAACTCCTTAGAGAATGTGGCTAAGGAAGTAATGATGGGGGTTCAGGAAATGACAGAGGAGTTGAATACATACTTCACATCAGTTCACGGGGTAGACGGTACTAATAGGATTCCAAAATTATTAAATCAAGGAGAAAAAGGTGAGGAGGAAGTGAATACAATATATTTAACTAAGGAAACTAATGGGTTCAAAGGCCAATTAGTCTCCTGTAACTGATGGGTTGCACCTTAGGATTTTAAAGGAAGATGCTACAGAGATAGTAAATGCACTGGTAGTAATCATAGAATACCTACAGTGTGAAAACAGGCCATTTGGCCCATAGAATCCACACCAGCCCTCTGAAGAGCAGCCCACCAAGACCCAACCCCTGTAACCTTGCATTTCCCTTGACTCATCCGTGTAGCCTGCACATCCCTGGACACTATAGGCAATATAGCATGGCCAGTCCCCCTAACTGGCACATCTTTGGATCATGGGAGGAAACTGGAGCACTCAGAGGAAACCCACGCAGTCACTGGGAGAATGTGCAAACTCCACACAGGCAGTCAGCCAAGGGTGGGAACAACCCCAAGTCCCTGATGCTGCTAGGCAGCAGGCTAACCACTGTGCCACCGTGCCACCCCCAGGGAATCTTTCAGGAACTCTTAGATTCTGGAACGGTCCCAGATGATTGAAAAACTGCTAGTATAATACCCCTGTTCAAAAAGGGAGGGAGGCAAAAAAATCAGATAACTATTGCTCAATTGTCTGGACATCTGTTAATGGAAGAATGTTAGAGTCTATAAGAAAGGATGTAACAGCAGAGCATTTAGAAATACATAACATGATCAAGCAGGTGGCTTCATGAAGGGGAAATCATGCCTGACAAATTTACTAGAATTCTTTCGAGAAGGTAACAAGTAGGATAGATGAAGGGGTGCAGTGGATGAAATATATCTGGAATTTCCAGAAGTGTTTAATAAGATACCACACATTTTGTTCCTTAATAAGATAGTACATGGTGTTGAAGGTAGTATATTAGCATGGATAGAGGATTGGCTAACGAATAGAAGACAAAGTTTGGATAAGGGTTCACTTTTAGGATGCCAACTGGTTACAATCTGTAACTGTAACAGGGATCAGGGCTAGGTCCATGATTATTTACAATATGTATTAATGACTTGGATAAGGAAACAATTTACTCTAGCCATGTTTGTGGATGACACAAAAATAGATGGGAAGGCAAGTGGTGAGTATGATGCAGAGAGTCTGCAGAGGGATATAAGCAGGTTCAGTGAGTCGGCAAAAACTTGGTAGCCGGAATATAATGTGGGGAAATGTGAGGTTCTGCAATATGGCAGGAAGATTAGAGGAGCCCAATATTATTTGTTTGGCGAAAGGCTGCAGAAAGCTACAGAACAAAGGGATTTGTGAGTTCTCATCTATGAATGATGAAAAACTACCATTCAAGTTCAGTGGGTAATGGAGAAAGCTAATGGAATTTTGGCCTTTGTTTCAAAGGGCATGTAGTGTAGGGCGGTTTTATGAAAACTATGCAAAGCACTGGTCAGACTGTAGCGAGAATTCTGTGAACAGCCTTGAGTTTCCTATCTAACCAAAGATATACTGACTTCGGACGCAGTTCAGAAAAGGTTCACTAGGCTGGTACGAAGTAATGAAGGACTGTTTTATGAGGTGGGTTGAGTAGATTGGGCATGAACTCATTGAAATACAGAAGAATGAAAGGCAACCTTATTGAAACATACAAGATTCTTGGGGGGGCTTGACAGGATAGATGCAGAAAGTTTGTTTCATAAGGACCAGAGGGCATGTCAGAGTAAAGGGCATATATCTCAGATAAGGGGTCACACATGTAAGGCAGAGATGTAGACAGATTTATTCTGAGGGTTGTGAACCTGTGGAATTCTCTTAACACAGAGGGCTGTTGAGGCTGGGTCATTAAGTACATAAAAGACTGAGATAGACAGATGTTTAATTAGTCAGGGAATCAACAGCTATTGGGAAAAGGCAGGAACATGGAGTTAGGGATTATGAGATAAGGCATGATTTTATTGCATGCTGAGCAGATTCGATGAGCTGAATGGCCTACTTCTGCTCCTCTGTCTTATGGTTTTATGGTCTTAAAGTTATCATCCCAAAGTGCGTAAGGAAAATATTGATTATTTTCCAGGGCTCAGTAAAATGCCTTTATCTCATTTGTATCTGTGAACACCTCTGCTGACCTTTCTTTAGACTTTGACGCATTGGGAAAGATCTCAGTGTATTGATTGTGACTGTACAACAGCAAAATGTTGTAATTGTGTTCTTTTCTAATAGGTGAAAGCAGATAAAGACAACGCTAACCTTGGAAAACTGCGGCAGGCGTCTAAGGGAGTAAATGAGGCCACGGCCAGTGTAGTGGCTTCCACAAAATCAGGAAAATCGCAGATTGAGGAAACAGGTAGTTTTACTGTTCACCATGCAGTTTAGTACAAAGTAGCGAGCATGAAGTCATTCTGCAAAATCCAAAGTGAAATATTACGAACGCTGGAAATATGAAATAAATGCAGAAAACATTCAGAGCATTAAGTAAGGCAGGCAGAAGCTTATTGTTAATGATTTAACAGCAACATGAACATTGGAAGTCACATATAACACAGAAATAAAGAAGAAGGGTCCTGACCTGAAACGTCAACTTTCCTGCTCCTCTGATGCAGCCTGGCCTGCTGTGTTCCTCCAGCTCCACACTGTGTTGTCTCTGACTCCAGCATCTGCAGTTCTTGCTATCTCATTGGAAGTCACATGACTGAATTACAGCTGATTTGAGGATCAGTAATGATCAGAGCAGTGTTTGATGAAATTTCATCATTCACCATGCCCATATTAACTGGATAAGTATTTGTAAATCATTCAAATAGTGGACATCAAAATAGCCATTAAATCAAAGTTGGTGAAAGTACACTGGTCACTTTTTAATATATTCTTTTATTCCTGTTTCTCACATGAAGGAATGGGATTTGTATCAGCATCAAACACGTTCAAAAAGATGATTAGATGTAGAGGGAACTGTATTTACCCTGTATCAATCATGTCCATATCCCAACCTTTGACAACAGTTCTGACCTTTCTTAGTTTTGCTTTTGGTAGGAACTAAAGTGCAACAATGCAGTCTGGTTTACTGGCACAGGATTACAGAGCAATGAGATTTTCATTACATCAGTCTGGGCTAGCGACAAATCCATATCCCATTTGAAAAGAATCTAACCAACTAGGTTCTCAGATTTGTAGTCCTCTTCAGTTCATTGTCTTGAGTAAAGTCAGCATGAGCGTGTTTTTATAAGGCTGTGTATCTATATTTACAAGGTATTTATAACCTGGGCGTTGTGATAAGATTAAAGCCTCCCCATTCGAATCTTGTTCATTTAAGCCCCATTCCACGACTTTCAACCAGGCTGATACTTCAGTGCACTGTTGAGGGAATGCACAGATGGAAGCAAAGTATTGCAGCTGCTGGAAATCTGAAACAAATGCACAACGCTGTCGAAAGTCAGGTTTGGCAGCGTTTATGGAAAGGGAAACCGAGTTAATGTTTAGAGTCCAGTGTACTCCTCTTCAGAATGAGTTTTGTGGAAGAGTCATATTGAACTCAAAACATTACCTCCGTTTCTGTCCCCACAGATGCTGCCAGACCTGCTGAGTTTCTCTAACACTTCGGTTTTATTATGGAGAGAATTCTGTATTTTTGGAAATATTGTCCAACAGATAAAACAGAACCATGCCTCCTTGTGGTGCGTTCGATAGATACAAGGATTTCTCTTCCTTCCTGATCAAGATTCCTTTCTTAATCTATGCCACGAGAAAACAGGCTAACCGGTCACTTATCTCATTGCTGAGTGTGGGTGATGGTGTACCAAGCACTTGTTTATGGTCATCAAGGATGGTTCAGAACAGTTTATTGTATGTGGAATTATTTGGGATGAAAAGCATAGATGTAATATGCACTGTATAAATGCAAGTTCTTGCAAGCAACATTTTGTACTGTGTGAGTCCCTTTGCATTATATGCAAAGTTGTGCATCAAGCAAGGAAATTATTTGCTGCTTACTGAAACTATGCATTTTCAAACTCTGTGCATTTTCGAAGTGATGTGTCATGCAGGCCACAAAGGTTCTGATTCAATCCCTGCTCTGTGCTGGCTTGCACTTCCTTGTCTCAGACAAGGGTTGGTGACAATCTCCAAGTTAGGGAGAGGAAAATGAGGCAGAATTTCTGCTTCCAATGACTAAATAAGAAATTCTTGTGTTTTTTATAGCACATATTATGACCTCAGGAGGTCGCAAGTAACTTTAGACTCAGTTTAGTACTTTTGATGTGTGGTCAGTTTTAATATAGAAAAAAGGGCAAACGAGATAACGGTCATCTTATCTGTTTCTTTTTAATGACATTGAGTGATAAATACTGGGCAGGGTACCAGGTAGGACTCCCCTTCTCTTTAAAATAGTGCCAAAGGATCTTTTGTATACTCCACAAAGGACTTTAGATCAATGATGCCTCTCTGAAGGCTGTGAATCATATAAATGCCACCCCAAGGTGGTGCAAGGAGCATGCATGTGCAAAGATAAAGCCACAAACGTTTGTCAGTGATGAAAGCTGCTGGCTCATTAAAGGTTAACCCTGGATCCTGAGTCCCTTATTCAGGACCTGAGGCCACTATCATATCTTTAGGTAACCTCCTCACCCACACCCACACCCCACCTCCATTATTTTCCTACAGTCAACTGTCTCTGATGGATTGAGGAGTCAAAATGACTGCACTGTATGTGCCAGTAATACTTTGTGCACATGATCCATTTGTACGAAGCCATTCTGTCTGCACAAATGGCTCCTATAGTGAGGGTAGGGCACATTCTGTTTCATTGTGAATGTTGGGTAAGAGCCTCTCCGTTGAAAGACCAAGACTACATGGGGGATTTGGTTGAAGCTGATTAACTTGAAATAAAGATGGGCAGTATGTGAATACACTTGTGCTGATATCACTGCACACAGAATGTGGTATTGTCGGCAGCACATGCGGGGCCACATCCTGAAGCTTTTCGATGGTGCCAGTAGTCCTGTCTGAGCGTGCACTGGAGGCCAATTTGGCATTCAGAGTAATCAGTCTAACAGTGTAGCATTCTTCTGACCAACCAGTGGCTTTCTGCAGGTGTGTGCGTTTTGGATGAGAATAGAATTAAACTTTGTTCTCATGTCCTATGATTTGAATAGCTTCAATGTGTAGGCTTATATGGAAAGACAGACCAGTTGAGCAAACAGTTGGACAACATTCAGTACACAGAGAACTGTCCCCCAGCAAAAAATCAGCAGCTTTATGAAATAGAAAGTAAATTCAAGTGAAAGCCCTCTTCTTTTTACATATCTTTAGTTTTTTTTTGTCCAAACAATCTGTCTATAATTTTCATTCTTTATTACAGACACAATGGATTTCTCAAGCATGACACTGACGCAAATCAAGCGACAGGAGATGGACTCACAGGTACTAAAAAGCTGCTTTTGCATTACACTCAGATCCTTTCCAATAGTTTCTTGACATCATGAGATTGTCTGTCTAGTTGTATCTTTGATATTCTTGGAACAAAATGGTATTCTTACTGCAGTTTGACACTTGTACTTGCAAAGAAATTAACATTAAGTAGTTGGTTTAGTTTAGCTTACAATCAAAGTGAACTTAGCCAAACAAGGTATCTGAGTGTTTTGTAAAATGAGGGGATAGACAATAATAGCATTTTCCTATCCATGCTGTGCTAGCAGTTTCCTGGAAACTATACTACCAAGCATGCTAACATTTGAAGAATGAAAACTCTGTATAGGGGAGAATAATTTAACCTTCTCTTGATGTTGCTTTGAGGACAGCAGAGCTGTGGTGATCGATGCATGTTCTGCAGTTTTGTTTGATTTCTATGTAAGATATGTGTGCAGAACCTTTCCTGAGGAGATTAAACTGGTGGAGATGATCTGTTTTGGTAAGTTAGATAAACTATCCAGAAGGAATAGGGTTAATAGGCTTAATGAACTTTGCTTGTTCCACTTTTGTAGTGTAATATGCATAAAAACAAGCCTACGCTCTCATTAAGCCTAGTCCTAGTCAGATTTTAGCAGAATTTAAGTGGCACCAGAATGGTGCAGGAGGTAGTCTGAATGACAAATGTTCTTACCTCTGTCCTGAAGGTTCGTGTTCTAGAACTGGAGAGTGAATTACAGAAAGAGAGGCAGCGCTTGGGAGGACTGCGTAAAAAACATTATGAGCTGGCTGGAGTTTCTGAAGGCTGGGACGAAGGTATGTGCTATTTCTAGAGGAGAAGTGTGAAATTTTGGATGGATTAAACAGAATAACAGAGGAAATATTAAGGCATTTAGCATCTTTAAAAGTCAATAATCACCAGGCTGCCAAGAAAAGCAAAGAAGGGAACAGCAGGGCCTTTAACTGTCATTTTCCAATATCCTCTGTTTACAGTTTTGGGAGGTTGCTAACTTTCTACCATTATTTACAGCAAGGAACAGTGCAAATAATTATCAGTCAATTAGCCTAACCTCCATAGTCGGCAAAAGTAATGGCAGTAAATGCTGAAGACTGATAACTGACAAATCACTACCTCAAGATTTTAAAGCAAGCAGGAAATTATAAATAGCTCAGCAATAATCTGCCAAGTGCTTCTGGAACTGGCCCTTTAGTTTGAAAAATTACAGATGTGACTTCATTGCTTAAGAAATGTGTTGAAAAGAAAGCCAGGGAATTATAGAAGAACAAAATATTGTGGATACTGAAAATATGAAATAGAGTCATACAGCACGGAAACAGGCCCTTTGGTCGGACGCATCCATACTAACCAGATTTCCAAAACTGTACTAGTACCATTTACCTGCATTTGGCCAATATTCCTCTAAATCTTTCCTATCCATGTACCTATGCAGATGTCTTTTAAATTTTGTAATTGTACTTCCTCTACCACTTCTTCCAGCAGTACGTTCCATATACACACCACCCTGTGTAAAAACGTTGCCCCTCATGTTTTTTTTAAAGTCTTTCCTCTCTCACCTTAAATCCATGCCCTCTAGTTTTGGGCTCCTCTACCTTGGCTATTGACCTTATCTATGTCCCTCATGATTTTATAAACCTCTATAAGGTTACCCCACAGCCTCCAGGGAAAAAAGTCCCAGCCCATCCAGCCTCTCCTTGTAACTCAAACCCTCCAGACTCGGTAACATCCTTATACATCTATTCTGCTGCATCCTTTCCGCTGCATCCTTTCCAGTTTAATAACTTCCATCCTATAGCCGGGTGACCAGAGTTGTATGTAGTAGTCCAAATTTGGCCTTACCAATGTCTTGTACAACCATAATGTGATGTCCCAACTCCTGTACTTGATGCTCTGACTGAGGAAGCCAAGCGTGCTAACACTGACTTCAACACCCTGTCTACCTGTGACGCAACTTACAAAGAATTATGTACCTGAACCTCTAGATCTCTCTGACAACAGTCCCCAGGGCCCTACTATTAACCATGTAAATCCTGCTCTGTAAAAACCGAAAGAACTGCAGATGCTGTAAATCAGGAACAAAAACAAAGTTGCTGGAAAAGCTCAGCAGGTCTGGCAGCATC